GTGGTTGGTGCAGGCGGTGGCTGTGGTGATTTTGGCAGTGGTTGGATCGCCATTTTGCATTTTCGTTGGATTGACATTTTGGATAAATTGGAGCTATGGCTGGAGACATCTGGGGGTGGGCAATCGACCGGTGGTGGTGCCCGACCTTGGGTGTCGCCGGAGGTAGAGATTTCGGCTGAAGCAGTTTTCGCAAGTTCAATTGTTGAGGATGATTTTTGATTGATTTTGGTATATGTTTGGGTAGTTGTTTGTGTCATTATTGAAGAAGGGATTGAAGGCTTCACAATGGTATGCAATTCTGGTGGTAGAGGAGGAGGATGGCCGGAGTTCACAAGGTTGAAAGTGGCTACTCCATTGTTTTGGCGGAAGAGGGTTGAAAAGTGAAAGTGGTTGTTTCCGTGTTTTCAATTTTTTCGTGGGTTTGGCTTGAAAATGCCCAAAATGATGTTTTTTTCGTTTTGTATTTTGTGTACAAATTTTTTTTCGTTTTCAAAAACACGTTTTCGAAAATAGAAAAGAGAACGCGTTTTCACTGTTTTGAAAAACAGAAAACAGAAAACGATTTAAAACGGCCAAAGAAAACGACCCCTAATACACCCGTTTGATTCTTATTATTGTAGAATGAGAATGAAAATGATTCTTTGTCAAAAGACATAGTCAAACAATGTATTTGAATAAAGAGCATTTTCTCAATATTTATTGGTAAAATGGCCTCCATTAAAAAATACAATAAATAAAGGGTGTAAAATGTCTGAAGGGATTCTTTGTTAAAAGGCATAGTCAAACAATGTATTTGAATAAAGAACATTTTCTCAATGTTTATTGGTAAAATGGTCTCCATTAAAAAATACAATAAAAAAGGTGTAAAAGGTCTAAAATATCACATCATGAAAAGACCCAAATACCATTTCAATCAAATTAAATTTTCCAATTCATCTCCAATTCAATTAACGAGCTCTCCGTCTCTATTATATTACTCACCTATCTTTTCCTACATTTTGAGTATTTGAATAAGAATTTTGGTTTCTACATTATCTACATTGAAATATCTAAATATTTGAAGAAAAAAGAAAGGTATTTTTGG